GATGAATGGTCTGATGGTTGGATGGATGGATGGATGGTTGAATGGATGGATGGATGGATGGATGAATGGATGGATGGATGTGGTTAGGGGGGTTGTTAGATGGGTGATGGAACAGACAGTTACCTGGTGGAGCAACAGATGAGGTCTGCTGAAGTAGTGAAGTAGGTAATGGCAGTGACGACTGTGACGTTATTAATGGTTCCCATGGAGATAATGTGGCCTGCGATTTTGTTAGGGGTGGAGTTAAGTTGTGAGATGATTGGAATAGCTGATTAGGAAGGGACAATGTGGCCTTCTGATTGTATGACGATAGCATCGGCGACAGTGCCTGAGCCGAAAATGAGGATGCTCTGTTTTGATGATGAGATGATAACATTGAAACTGAATGCTGCACCATACTAGAAGTAGCTTCGGGTTGAAGTTGTGTTTGTGGTAGTGAAAGTGAAGTTGGAGTCGGTACCAAAAGATAGGACAAAGTTGCTCGAAATATCGATGCTTGCAGGAATTGTTCTGGCTGATTCGTTGGAGATGAACCAAGTAAAACGGTTGACAAGAGCTGGACAACTATGTTTGGTGAAAGAAGAAAAGACTTTAAGTTCATCACAAAGATATCAAGATCGATCAAATTAAGCTGTCTTTTAAAACGCCGTAACATTTAGGCTTACCGTGGAAGTTGCTTAATATAATGTTTAATCATGGTAGGCTGTTTTTAATTCTAGTAATTTAAAGCAGTAAATATACACACAATCTCAAACCTACTTCCAAGTATTACAAGTAGACGGATAACTCCACCAAGAATTGACGTTAATCAAAGAAAGAGGTGAAAGCAAATCAAAATTATTCATGGCAACAAATAAACAGGGCAAAGATTGATACAAGAAAAACAAAGGTCACCTCGATTGCTGCCGACACTGTCTGCACTTTCGAGGAGCGACACAATGACAAACATTTCACTGAGTAAGCGACTTGACGTTCTTCATTTCTTTTTTGCAGATAAATGTCACTTAAAACATTTAACAACTCGTTTTAAACTGTTGACACTATATTCGGCTTACAAAAGGATTGAAACTATGACTAATCCTCCGATGTACACTTAAATTCTTACCCCCACCGTAGTTCAAGGGGGCGGGGATTAATGGAACCCCTTCCTTGAGTTTTGGATAGGCTGCATTATTTCGAAATGATTTTGCCTTCAGTCGAAAGTCTTTGATCTTCTCAAAAAGACTAGGTATATTTTATGGGTGGTGGAGCTACTGGAGACCTGTGACGTTACCAGCGATGGCGGCCATCTTGGCAGCCATCTTGGATTTTACCAAGGATTAAAAAACAAATTTAAACCGCAAGAATTTTTTTGTTTGTGCCTTACATATAAAATAGCACATAAATACGCACTTTGCATCATTTTATCCAATTGTCTCTACTTTTATTGTTGAAAAAGTAGAGAAAACATGCATTTTCACTCAGATATGGGTTGACCGCCTGGTAATTGTGACGTCATATCTCGTAACCATCACTAAACGTGTCTCAAACTGCGTGCAAGGGATAAACCAACAGCTAATGGAAATTTCAGGTAGTGATGTTTTATCGCCTAGGAAAAAAAACTCAGAAAAACCTCAGAGGGGATGTGGCAGCTACCCCTCCCCCCTTGTGCGTGCAAAGGTTAACCTTGCTTAAAAAATTCTACAGATCTTATTTTGCGCATGTACTGTTTAGGGCATATTTCCACGCTTGAACTCAACCGTCAACCAAAATAGTTGTTTTTTAATGGTTTTCTATCTGATTCCGTTGAGATCAATTCATCTGTATGCAATAGAACGATTGTTCTTTTCAATCTCGATGAACAGTGGCCTTAGGAATTTTCGGCAACTACTCACCCACAATTCAAATAATAACTAATCAGATTGCTTAAAACATCATGATCACTGAGTGAGTACATACTAATTGTTTTTTTTTTTTTTTTAATATTCCTACCAGCAGTGCTATTAGTGCTGTATATCTCCACTCGTAAACAGTTCCAGATATGCTGACTTGTTGGATGAAATACAATGAATTTTGCAGACACTGGAACAGGTAGCTGATGGTAGTCAGTGATGCTGCTGTTTCCAAATCTAGTGAAAACCTTTCAAGACAAATTAAAATAAAATGATCATGGGGAAATTCCTTGAAATATCAATACATTTCATTAAACCACGCTTAACATTAGGACCCTTTCAACTTATTGGTATATTTATGTACTTATTCATTTATTTGGTCACACAAGAAAGCTACAAATTCTAAGTACTTATTAGAAAAAAGGATATGGCGGTATAAAGGAAACCTTATAGCCTTTTAGGTAATTGAGTCCTCTACTTACAAAATTACATTTGTAATAACGGGAATGAACTTTATAAAAGTAAAGCGATTTTCAATGGTTAAAGACAAATCCACACTTTCCACCCACGTATAAGCACCCATTCCTAACACGCCCCCATCCCCCACGCTCACACACCCACACCGAACACCAAAAAACAGAGGTGCAAAACAGGAGTATGGGTAAACATTTCAAATTATGCTTGGGTTCATCTTCTACTTTTGGTTTGATATTTTTCTTTTTTATTATTATTATTCATTAATTTATCTTTTTTGCTAGATTAATTTACCAAATTAAAAAGAAGCGACTTTTTAAAACATTTAGCTATGAAAATTACGCAAATACTTTTCTTAAAACATTTTAAGAATACGACGTTTCGACGTTCTCGAACGCCGTTATCAAGTAAAAAAAAAATACCCTATGAAAGTTCTATGCATACAAGAGAAAACAATAGATCAATTATAGAGTAACATATAAAAATATGTGAAAAGTTAAACCAAGAGTTTAGCGCTAATGGAGTCACTCTGAGTATTAAGGCTAGGGTTAAGCTCTGTGATGAATAATAACATTTCGTATACGAGACAGTCAAATTTCCACTTCTCAAGAACGCCAAATTGACCCTCTTTCAAAAGATTTTTGTCACCGTGAGCTTCTAAAAAAATATTTACCGACAACAGAATATCCGTATTCAGCAATGCGTTGATGAAGGCGCCGGGCTGTGTAGCCAACATAATCCACATCACACAGATCACATGCAAATTTACTACTTATTGAAAACAGTCAAACTGCTCAGCCTCGAATAAGCGCTCATTTTCGCGGCCAAATAGTTCAATATTATTGAATTTAAACTCGCCGTTTAATCAAAATTTTGACCAGGGTAATAATTATCAAATAAAATTTAGACTGCAAAACAGTCCGTATTTTTGCGTGCTCAAATACGCGCGAACAATCAAACAAAAGGTCTGGAGCGAAGCTGAAAACAGAGAGCGAGACTGAGGAGAGACGCAAAAATTATGGAATGTCCGCTTTGCATACGTTATATTCGTTCGAATTACCCGCATCTCCCAGCCACGGCAATTCCTACTGGCTAAATTTTGATCCAAGCCGTTAGCAAGCTGTCAAGTTATGTTTCCAATAAGTCATTCGCAATGTTCTCTACTGTGATGAATTCTATCCCGTTGGCGTGTTCGCAGGGCAGTTTATAACCTTTGTTCCGCTCGGCGAGCAAACTCTTGTAGAGAAAGATTCTCGTTCACCAAGGACAACGAGAAGTTCTTTTTGCAGAAGGTCGGCCAACTTTGGTAACGTTCATCTTTTCTAGCAGGGGCAACAAACATATTTGCAGAGTCTATCCATCCAATCTTAAAATTGCCGAACTGTGTTTTGAAACAACAGCGCACATTCTAATATTATCTGAAGTCCTCAGCTCGGCTTTCCCCCTCTTCGAGGAGCAGGCACAGGCTCTGTCGGCGTACTGCCACTTCCACTCATTTTTGAACTTCAAGAAAAAAACTACATTGCACTAGGAAACAACGCTCAAGACTGCTGGCTTTGGAATTACTGGATAGCGTGTACCACAAGATTCTAGGGCACGCGCAGACACTAACACGCACTATTCTATCGCGAAATCGATCACCGGGTCTATCAAATTTACAAAGAGGGTGGCGTTTTGAACAGATTTTTGACAGCTGGAAGACATTTTGAGCCCCCTGGTCAGAACGAACTCATTGTATGAAAAACCGACAGTCCGTTTTTCTTTCTTTCCCCTCACACGCCCGTGTGAGACTCTTACGCTATTCTTACGCTAAGCTAAACCGGTTTTGAGAAAAAAAACCGACCGTTTTGCAGTGTAAAGAATTGTCCCCGCTTTCTTGAACGCGTTTACATCTTGAATGTAAGGGTTAAAATTTATAGTACCGGGTTACAGAAATCCCGCCAAAATATTCTTGATCACAACGCTACTCCCTAGACCGGGGTTAGAACGTCCTTCTAAGCTAAAAAGTAGATTAACCTCATCATAGCCATTTGAATTCTTATAAGCAGTCCAGCCATCACCATCCAAAGAATAATACAGTTTAAAGGATATAACGTATTCATCAGTATCCTCTCTTCCTTGAGTCGCAACACCACATATTTCAGTTGACTTTTCAAGTTCAATCTTAAGCCACTCCTGGGTACCCCTGGCGCTTTGAGCGCACCAAGCTCTTCTGCCATTAAGTCGGCCATGTGTCGCTGAGTAGTCCGTTTTCTTTGTAGAAGCAGTCATCATGTTATGAGAAACGGCAAATTTATTCGCAACGCCAATGGCATTGCTGAAGCACGATGCTTGCGTTGCTGTGTGTAAACAAAATGACGTGAAAATTGAGAAGCAACAAACGGAAAGAGTACATAAGTGTACTTGTTCTTTTACTGGAAACAACTTTGACAAAATTTAGTGATAATATGATTAAACAAAACATTACAACAAATGTGAAAAAAATATATTGGAAAAGCTCAATTGCTCTAGGAGATATAGCATCTTGAAATGCATTTATGTTTCGAAAGATAGTAACAGAATGGCGGGAAATTCAAAAATTAAATCTTAATAACTCTTTAACCAATTGAGCTTTTCAATTGTTGTTTTACATTTTATTCTATCGCGTCATGCTTTTCAAAAATTATTTATTTGTTTGCCATATCTTGAAATTATAATTTTGCTGCCAATCTTTTGACGTCATTTTCCCGCAAAAACACGTTAAAATCGAAAACAAAAAAGTACGATTCTTTGGAAAACAAAGTTCTACCATTCTGCAAAATTTGAGCTCAAACGAATAAAAAGTGCAAAAATAGTTCTAGGATGCACTTTTAGGCGTCCTATATGCCCACCGTGTTTAATGGTAAGATTAAACGACACTTTAAAAATTCAAAATGTTAAAGGAATTGTATCAATGGAAAACCAGCTGTCAACCACGACTGGGTGGCAATAGTTATTATTCTGATACATCCTCCTAATTTTCGGCGGCCGTTGCGATCGCTATTTTTGAGATATACGGCTAAAAGGTTACAGGTTGCCAATGTTTACTATGCTCTTTCAGTTCCTGCTAACATAATTTTCTAAAACCGAATTGTTTTCGTATTGTCAGAAAGTTGATCACGAGACCAATTATTGCAAAAGGCGTATTCTTGTCCTCGAAGTCGTCGACCTTTTCCAATAATATCACTGAAGTCCTCTAATACTAAAACCTTGTGTTAATAGGGTAACTTTAATTGTTCTTTCTGTAGAGTTGGCTGAAGACGAAAACAAAAAAGTAATATCAAGTCGACTTAATAAATTTTCTTAGTCGTTTAGGGATGGTGGGTCATCAAATAACCACAAAGTGGATTAGTGATATAATTTCACAACGTTTATGTTTAAAAAGTAGAAAAAGACGGGTATTTTTTGCAAAACAAAATAATGAGTAAATTAGAAAGTGAAAAAAAAAAAGTTGAATATTTACTGTGAAACCGTAAAATTTGAAACTGAAAGCGAACAAAGTTATTGATTTTACCTTGAGAACTGCTTGAAAAAATAAGGGAAGAAGGTGACAATATGGGTGATGATGAAGTTGAATTTGTTGATTGTGTATGTGATGGTGAGGATAATGGCAATAATAGTGGTGTTGATGATGTTGATGATAACGGTGATGGTAATGGTGGAAGTGATGATGATGGTGATGATGGAAATGCTGAAGGTAATGGTGTTGTTGATGTTGGTGGTGATAGGGATATTGCTGGTGATATTAGTGCTGATGATGGTGACGGGGGAGGTGATGTTGCTGGTTTTGTTACTAATGATGATGGCGATGGTGGAGGCGATGATGGTGACAGAGGAGGTGAAGATGATGGTGTTGGTGGAGGTGATGACGGTGGTGGTGTTACTAATGATGATGGCGATGGTAGAGGCAATGATGGTGACGGAAGAGGTGATGTTGGTTGTGGCATTACTAATGATGATGACGATGGTGAAGGTGATGATAGTGAGGGAGGAGGTGAAGATAAGGGTGATAGAGAAGGTGATGATGATGGTGACAACGATGGTGTTGGTGGAGTTGATGACAGTGGTGATCGTAATGATGAAGGTAATGTTGATGGAGATAGTGATGATGGTGGTGATGGTGATGGGGATGATGACGGTGATGTCGGTGATGGTAATGGTGATGATGATGGCGATGATGGTGATTGTGATGGTGAGGGTGATGATGAAGGTGATAGCGATGGCGATGGTAAAGGGCTTGTGTCACATCGTTCTCCAGTAAATCCTGTTAGGCAGGTGCATACAAAGGATCCTGATCCACTTAAACAAGCGCCACCATTCAGACATGGAGAAGACAAGCAAGGATCTGATGATGCAGAAAAACATAGAGAATTGACTTCGCCGTAAAGAGCGAGTTAAATATAAGTACTGATAAAAGTATCACATTTTTCATACCATTCGGATCCCCGCAAGCATAACTGTTGCCGTTATCTGTTAGGTAACATGTCTGACCGTTGAGGCAATTGACATTAGCACATTTTTCTTCTAAAAAGACAAGTTTATAAGTACGTTAAAACAATGTTACAGACAATCACTTAAGACTACATTTATTTCTTTCTTATTATTTTTCCACTGATAAGTGAAGTGTTACTTAGTGCGTGGGTGATTGTTTTTTTTTTTTTTTTTATGTAATCTATATAACTGGCTGGATTTTTTTACTGCCAAAATACACCTCTTCCGTCAGACAATTTTAAGCATTTAACGAATCCAAAAACGTATTGCGTTTGCTGTTGTTGCGGTTTCGCGCAGCTGCGAGGCGTCTTACGGTGTAATTGCTCTGAAAATAAAGTTGTTTTACGGGCAGCCTTTCCCTGTTTTATAAGCAGTTATCAGTAAGCCTGGGAATAGATGTATTTTGAATGATTAACAAAAAATTTATTTATTCGGCTATCTTGTAGTATCCACCTTAGTCATCGGCTTCAGTAGATAACAACCTTCTAGACTTCCATCAATTCCTTATATCATATTCAGGTTCATTTCCTTAAATTAATCTCGCTGTGACAGGAGGATTCTTACTAAATGATATTATTATCACAGTTCTTAAGGATTATTCACCTTCTACCCCGTTGGTGCAGTATCGCCATCCGGTTGAACCACAGCTACTTTTAAATTCGACAAGCTTGTACATGTAAAAAGCACCACAGTTAATAACCTGGATGGAACCTTCATTTTCGCAAACATGATTTGCTGTACGAAGGCAAATTTTTCTGGTAACTTTGCCCTCACTTGGGAAAGGATGACTTCCGTAGAGATAAACTTGCGTCTTTGTCCCACAAGCGTTGTTATTCGGGGCTGTTTCAGCTGCTAAAGCATTACCAGCGTTTCCTGACACTCTGTACCAGTAATACCACTCATTTGCTAGGTCGTCTCTGTCACATTTGTTATCACTGGACGAGGTGAATGTTACGCTACGATCGCCATTGTTTAGATCTTTATAATTTTCATCCCTGCAAGGATCATTTCCTGCTTATGAAACAGAAAGAGCCTGGATTACTGAAAGAACACATCAATTATTATTTTTCGTAAATTATGCTTTATTAACCTGAGAAAAGGAGAGAATAGTTCAAATAGCATCAAAGATGTCAAATAGGAGAATATTAACTTTAACATTCTCCAAACTGATGCTACTTGAACTAATGTATTCTCTCCTATTATCACGTTGATAAAATAATAATTGACAAAAAAATGATGATAAAGAACAATAACATATCACTTCGAATCACACTTAAGACCGCGGAGGAGACCTGCCTATGAGTAAATTCATAAGTCTGAATTTTAATTGTGCTAAATCTTTTAAAAAGCTTATATCTAGGCCGTTAATTATAGAGGCGATTTTGATAACAGTTTACAGACACATTGTGAAATGATGGACGTCTAGGAGGGTTCTTTTTTATTTGGCAGATCGCGCTTTACTTCATAGCTTTAAGCCATAATTTTACCAAACTTATGGTGTGTCATATATTGAGCAGTTTTCTCAATTTTCCATCAAGATAAGATAGTTTAAATGAGTGAAATCTGACCTCCCTGAAATTAACGCCTTATATCTTTTTATAACAGCGCTCTTTTAGAATTCCGCACAATACATAACACTTTGCAGTGCACTTCTACCAAGTTTACCCCTCTGCAGCGCCTGCTCGGAAGTTTTGTATCTGTGCTGAATTCTTGGACACAAAATTGTTGGAAAAGTCAAATTTTGACACTCCCGGAGGTGTCCCGACTAAAGCTCGAGTCACAAGCAAAATATGTAATTATAATCATATGGCTTATTACATTTCACGCTTTGATTTTGGTTATAAGCTGCAATATCTTCGAGGATTTTTGAGGTGGAAAAAAAAGACATTCAAAGAGTTTTTGTATTAAATTTGGTTAAAATTTTTAAAGATTTCCTTATTCTATTTCCATATTATTAAGAATCAAGGAAACAAAGCTTGTTACTTTTGAATAAACATTTTGTTCGCAGTCTGCATGCCACAGGTGCATGTGAACAATTTAAACTGTGTGCTCGTCTCTTATCTAGTTGTGAAATCTCGTAAACCTGTAGATATCAGTCGTTGTGCTGCTTGCATACATTTTATTATAAATAAATACACAGCCATCAGCCCAAGGTGTTCCCCGCGACCTCTGAGCGATTTTCCGAGCGCTGATTGGTCGAGAGCTTTACTATGGTTATAAGAGTACAGACTCATGGAAATGAAGTCATGGTGGCGCAATAGACCTTATTCACCACGATGGTCGGTTAGTAGGGCTTTTGCTCCCATTAGGTTCTTAAATTAAATTTCTGGCATACAGAGGGGTAGTTTATATTTCAAATGAGGCAAAACATTAGAACATCTTAATTGGAGAAAAGTTTTCTTTAAATTTTTACAATTTTAAAGGTATTTTTTACTTTTCTTGAAAGTATGACGTCATAAGTGACACCTATTGTTAGTAACAACGTTAAAAATTTGATAAGCAGTGTTCAAAATGTTACAAACATTTTTGTTACAGAAAAACAATATTTACAGTGAAAACCCCATCTCAATCGGATAAAATGGCGTGAAGTTACAGGTAATTAAAGAAATTCAAATTTCCCGCCTCATGACCATATATGGTCAAACTTTAGGGGTATTTTAACGCGAAAACAATGAATGTATTTAC